ATGCCGGAAGGATTGATGTATCTGAGAAATGTGTGAAATGATTTTGGGAAGAATACAGATAAATGGAAAAAATTGCTCAAAATTCTTAAGCTAACAAAGCGGTGAGTGCCTGGATTCAATCCTAGCAGACAGATCACACGCTGCACGTCAGACTTGAGTTGTCTAGGAATTGAGGTAGAGCAATTTTTAAAAGCTTTTTCTTTTTTTGGGTAGTTCCAATGCAACAGTTCTTTTCATGGCTTATTTACATCCACAAATATCTGTGTGCTCCCTTGTGAACAAAAATAAGGGGGTGGGAAATAACTGTATTTTTGGATATCCAGCCACCTGCTTGTCACTTGAGTTTCCTGTTTGTATCAGGAAAGGGCTGTAACTCGGAGCACCTGGAGCCTGGCGCTGGCCAGCTACTTCTGCTCTGAACTGCGGGCACAGTCCCGCTGCACAGAGCAGGCAGGCCAGGCTGGGGTTCCGCTGGTCTTCGTGGGCGTGGGAGGTGACAGAGGGCATGAACTGGCCTTCGAAACTGCGCCCGCGCCCCGGGCAGATGCTGTGAAGATGCTGATGGTGTTGGATTGCGTGTCCTTTTCTGCCTGCCAGTGGGACAAGAAACAAAAGGAGAGGCAGCTCTCACTTCACTGATAATAGACAATTTTATACATGCACTCCGTGTGTGTGTGTCTAAATAATATTTACAGAAAGACACACTCACACATACACACATATTTTAATTGGGGGGAAAAATCCTATAAACATATGGGTTCTTCTTCCAAACTGTAAAAAAAATCATTTAATAGCTGCTATAGTAGAAATATTTCTATTAATGCTTCTACTTCTCTATACTTTACATGCTGCTGCTCCTATTTGTTGTTCATGTTTTAGTCATCCAGACATATGTATTTCCAATTTCAGACCTGTGTGAGTGAAAAATAAACATTTTAAGATTAGTTTAAAATGTTCTTAAGATTATGAACATACTGTCTATTGCCTGAAGTTCATTGTTGCTTAGATAAAAGTATCCGCTCAATCTCTTCCCACTTACTTAGTAACCAATTATTTGCTCTAGACTAAATGGATTAGAATCCTTCATTGATGAAATTTTGTTTCTATCCTGAACCTGTTAAACATGGAGGGATAAAAGCTAGATACATTTGACAGTGAGCAAATGGCATCTTAAAATCATGAACGAGTCATTACAAAAAATCTCCACTTACAATATAAAGTGCAGTGATTAATTAAAGATGCGGTTTTAACTTATTTATAGCCATTAAAAAAACATACCAGTTTTAACACAAAATAACACGAGCCAAGTCATCCAGGGGAGAGATGCTGGCAGCCTGAGACTTGGAGAGCAGGCAGTGTGACAAAGCCAAGAGGGAACAGCAAATGCAGGCCACCCTTGAAACCTTTGGAGAGGTTCACGGAAGCAAGGATGGAAAGAGGTGGCTCTGGTGCCCCTGCCAAGATCCCCTTCTTTTTGCTCACAACAGACAGTTCAGGAGTGCGAAAGCCCCGTCTCACTGCGATGGCAGGAAACCTGTGTGCTCACTCCTTGGCTGTGGTGCAGACGGCGGGGAGCTTGCCAGCCGGAGAGCGTGCTGCGGGTGAGTCAGCCCTACCTCAGTCAAAAAGATGATATGGGTGAGAGAGAGACGGCAGCAGTTCAAGCCCAGATTTCTGCGAGCTTTCCCCTTCCTTCCAAAATTTTTGGTTGCTGATGGCCAAATGCTGGTCTTGCTCGACTGGCGGGTGCGGTTCACTGGAGCCAGGGG